ATATTTTTGAAATTCAAGCTGCACCTGTCACTGAAGTGAGTGGCATGCAACGAAAAGTGGTGGAGCCTAATGCTTTCCTCCCCTGCTTCCCAGGGGTGGGCAGGATGGAAAAGGACACCCCCCAGGTCAACCGCATCTTGTGGTTGGCTCCTGGTCTCTTCTGCATCCTCTTGTTTTCTTTTGCAAGCCAGGAACAAGTGCAAGTCTATCTCCACCTGGGCTGTGTGTTCAAGTGCAGAAGAGCAGATGACCCCTGGTCTGCAAAGTGCCGGTCAATATGTTTAGTAGGAATGTCATTATCATATTCCAGAAAGGAAGAATGCCTTTCAGTTTAAAGCAATGAAGTATTTAAATTGTGCCTTAATAGTCATAAGGCAGTGATTTATGCTGCTTTTTTATCTAATGACGCAACACACCCAGGAACCTTACCCTTGAATCACAGAGGAACAAACTTCAAGTGATTTTTCTGTCATCAGTATTGCACCACTCTTTGTCAGGAAAGATCAGCATTTTGGAGAAGTAACAGACACCACAAAGTCCTCATCCAGTGGCCTTTATGTGGCCTGCCACCACAAGAATTCCTCCATTCTCCTTCTTCCTGCCTTGGCAAGGAAACAGGGCAGGCCATCATCGTCCTCTCAGGCTTTGGGCAGACCCGGGGTGAGGACATGGATCCTCCAGGATTGTGGGCACATGTATGACAACCCCAGAAGGATGCACTGCATCCCCAGAGCATGAAATGGAGTGAAGCTACAGCTGGAAATCCTCCTGACTTATAGCACAATAACCACCACTGTGTCTTTAACAAGGGCAACTCAAAATCCAACTACTGGCAATTGTTCTCCAGCACATTGGTAAACAAGCTCACAAGTTAATTGCCTTGTGGGCAGCAGGGAACTGAAGGCCTGATGCTGGAGGCTATTTAGAGATCTCAGACTATGCTATCAGCTGCTGAGCTAGCGCATGTTGCTAAATCTGAGCCAGCAGTGCAATTGCAGTAATTCCCAGAACAGTTTACCCAACGCTTATTCCAATAATAAGGCATAAGGAGGGGGCTGTTGGGGATAGGAAAACCAAAACTGCTGCTTCTGTATTTCATAGGATAGGCAGAATAGGCCACTAATTATCTCATCTGCAATCCTGCTTTACTGTAGGCCATTCAGACTCTTGTGCTTAGAACAACGGACCGAACATTCTATTTAGTGTGAGCACCTCTTGTATAAACAATAGCCAGTTTTGATTAGCAGGCCTGAAAGATACTCTTGGATGTCTTCTTTGACAACCAGACCCTTCAGTGCACCTTTGTTCTCATAAGATCCACTTCATGTTACATCAAATTTAACCAGTCCAGGAGCATGCTTTGATGCTTTCCTCCCCTTTTTTTTTTCATATGCCCAGCATACACTACAGCAATACTGTTAAAGTGAAGGTTAGTTTGATATTGTTTTCTTCTTTCTCCAAGCAGCAAGTAATGGAGTGACAGATGTTGCAGTCACCAACCAAAATCTTGGGCTGTGATTAGCTATTATTAGCATGTCGATAATCTCCAAGGGATCCAAGGGATTAAGTGGTCACCTAAGCATGGCTTCAAGTGTCACCTATGTCTCACAGGGACATAAAGTAATCTCTTTTGTTGGAAACAGATGAAGTGATAAGTGTTTCAAAGCCATTCTAATTTACAGAAAATGCTGCAGTTCATTCTTTCTTAAGTCACCATTTAGGAGCAGAAAAGAACAATTCTGAGCTCAGATTTTATTTCAAGGAGGGTTGTTTGAAAAGCTGGTGGACACCTAACCTCTCACAAAGCAGCTAGTGAAATTGACAAGGTTTGTCGAGCATTTATAGACTTCTGTTAATGTTCTTCCCACTACTAAACGCAGCAACTTTTTCTGAACAAGAAGCGAAGGCAAGGAGTGTGTCCCAGGGCTGTACAGCATGTGGACAAGGCTGCAGGTAAGCTGCTGTGTCTGAACTAACAGAGCTGGTTACTTTCACACAGTGTTGGGGACCCTGCTGATCCCTGAGGTACAGAACAAATGGTGAGCAGACAGCTGCAGCTGAAGGGTTATTTTGGAAAATGGCTATTTGGCACCTTTCTAGAAAACAAAACCACCAAGTTTCCAGGCAGAAGGTGAAGTGCCCCGTGCCTTGTTGGATCAGCTGGACATGCATCACCTCCCTGCATCTTAATGTCTTGTTGTCACTGGAAGAACTGAGCCACCAACAGACAGGGAAGGAAGTGCTATTGCTCCTAACAGTGACCATCTCCAAATGCTCCACAGGCTATCCCCTTCCCATAGGTGCTGAGGATCAAAACCCTGTCCTGTCTGCTCACCCCATGGTTCCTAAAGCATGAGCACACCTCTGAAATCTGCCCCAATCTCCACATGATATGCAACCCAGATGGATCCTGAACCAGGAGCAAGTTTCAGGTATACTGTAACCCCAGGTGAACTTGCCCAAGATGTTGCTAAAAGACAGCAATTTTAGCATCTCCATGTTCTACTGCGCAGTTTGCCATGCAGTCTTCCCACCTCTCAGGCAGAAGACAATACCTTTGTCACCATTTTGTGGGAAGGGCAATGCCTGTTAAGTGTTGTAGGGCAGTCTCCAGCAGACATTTCAGTAGTGCCTACAGATATTTTATTGGCAGTTGCCAACATTACCTCTGTGTGGCAGGGATCTAGTAAAGGCTTGGTAGTGATGTTTATAGTCATGAAAGGAATGTTCCACAGAGAGTGTTTTTGAATGAGTTCCTACCCGCTCAAGGACTAGACTGTCTTTTTAGCCATGTTCTCCCACACTCTCGCCCTGACCACAGTACTGGCTATGATTGGCTTGAAAGCCAATTTTTGTTTAATCCAAAGTCTTTTGTTTTAATGCCTGTGCTCAGCAAACCTCTGCTATTTTAGGAAGGCTGTGCCTGTGAAGGTTCTGCATGCGAAGCAAACACTAAAAGCCAATTTCATGCTGCTCACCTGGAAGAGCAAGGTACACTCAGTCACTCCACCAGACTTGCAGATGCCAAGTATCCTTGTCTCCTTCTGAAATATAAATGGAAGTTGCACAAAGGTCAAACCAAAGTTTCCCCTGGCAGAAAGCTAGCACTGTCTTACCTACGTAATGGACGCCTCTGAAGAAGCTGCTTGGAAAGCAAGATAGTATACACCAAGATAGCCAGAGAGCTGGGTTGTATGCTTCTGTTGAGGAATTCCTGGGCAAGCAAATGATCACTGCAACAAGACCACACATCCAAAAGGCCTTACCCTTTTTGCCAGTGCCCAAACTGTTCAGCAGCACCTGGAGATTCAAGACTCCCTGGCCTTACTTGACAGAAACTGTGGTTATCCCTAGTGAGAGTGTCTGAGTCTTTCCAGCACCCATCAGCCCAGTGGAAGAAGTCATCAACAGTGAGCCAACTCGTAAAGGAGTGGCTGAAATTTTCTAACACTATCCAGGTGACCCTAGTTGGAAAAAGTACACAGCCAGCCTGTACAGTTGGGAAAAACCTTTGATCACTTTAGAAAATTGAAAGAACGGCAGGCACTTTTTACTATCAACATTTTTTATATAAAGGCAAAATCTTTTTTTTTTTTTTTTTTGCGTATGTTTTTTTAGCAGAGGGTTTCATTTTAGCAGACAATGCATAATACCTGTCTGCTCCTGGGCGGATCATCCTCATTTGATAATGCAGATACTGGAAGGGCTAAAAATATAACTGCTCCAAACAAGTAATCAAATATGAACATGTGCCTGTGCAGATGAATATGTATGGTCCATGAGTTTGTGATTAATGCTCAGTGCTTATTCTCCTAACACGTGTAAGAAGCAGGAAGATCTCAGTGAGACAAAGGTGTGGTACAATCACATCAGCAAAGTTATTAGCTTTCTGGACAGCTTTTTCCATTATGTAAAAGCTGTGTTTGTATTAGAATAGCAGTCAGACACACCAGTGTGAGGATTACAGTTGGTTTTTATATAATGGATTATCCAGATTAAGCGTTTTATTCAGGCACATGAGCAAAAATAACCAATTAGTGACTTTGCAGATTCATTATTTAAAGGCAGCTGGAGGGCAATCGACACAAAACTCTCCTGCTGACTTTAGCCTGAAGACTGAAGCAGAGTAATCTCAGGGATCTTCAGCACCTCTACCCAACAGGTAGGTGTCTCTTCAGCAGAGGTGAGACAGATCAGCAGATCTTGCAGTAGGAAATAGCAGCTTGCACGGCAGCAGCTGGGAACAGAGTAGCTGCTTGGGTGTCTGGAAGACCTGGGTTGATAGCTGTTTGGATGTTGAAAGCAAGATACAAGCAGCTGTGGTGTTTTTTTGGGGGGCATCAGAGCAGATATTCAGGGTTGAGTACTATGTAAGAATGTATATGCAGTTGCTCTCTCTTCCCAAAGTGTGAGGAACGAACATACAGAGGTATGGGTGAGAATGGAATGCCCTGGGAAAGTAAAATAGCCATAGCCATCTGGTAGCTGTGATTGCAGATCATTTCTGGAGCTTGATCTGCAATGGCAGATCCATCTCCAGAAATGAAGTATTATTTGTTATGTTTGTAAGGTGGATGTAAAGTTAAACAATCCTAAGATGTATTTTTCTAGGAGGAACCTGATTCACTGACAAGAACTGGTCATATTGAACACAGCTTTGCTGTTTTCAAAGTGATGGGCATACTCAGGAATAACGTCCTTCCACCCTACAATGCTATATCAGAATTCATCAGAACATTATTTTCTGCAATGCTACTACTGTCAAGCAAAATTATCTTGCAAAGCAATTGCCAATGGAGCTCAGATTTGCTGGAATCAGGCTCCACAATGACCCACGTTTCTCAGTGCAATAAACAGTACAATACTGGAGTGTTGAAGAAAACTAGTTTCAAAACTAGCTAAAATTAGGAGCTATATATATAGTATCTGTAGGCATAGCACTAGCTATCCACATTTAGTGCATGAAATAAAACTCTGCCCATTTGCTTTTGTCTTGCAGAATGAAATACGCACAATACCTTTTCCTGGCATCAATCCTCTCCACGGTTGAATACAGCCTAGCTCAGACCTGTGCAGTGGACTCTTTCTCTGTGAAAGACAATTTTGATCCAAAAAGGGTAATTACGGTTACTTCATCTTGGTAAATAGAGTATGTGTGAAGAAGCTTAGCTATGTGAACTCATTTTCCAACTTGGAGGTTGCTAAAAGGGCTCCTCACCAAGAAGTTAACTTCTTTCCCAACGCTGTCTGTCAAATGCTGCTTCTACAGTTTGCTTGCCTTGTTACTCCTTAACCTTCTGAGTGTTGTGGAAAAGCTGGCCCCACAAGTCAGGGATGTCACACTGTTACACCCAGCCTTCTATTAGCTGAAATTCAGCTCCGGCCTCAATCGAATTTAACCCAGCTAAATTCAGCTTTCCCCAGTGTTTCCATGGACAGTGTTAACTTCTGAGGGCCTTTCTGCCTTTCACTGTCTCGCTTACACCTTTTTTTTTAATTTTACTAGATATTGCTTTTGCATTTCCAGGAACTCCATGTTTTTTTCTAAGAATTTTCCTCTTAGTTTCACTTCTCCCACACCACACCCTGCTGCTGGCCTGCCCCAGAACATCATTTCATCTCTGTATCATCTCCGGCTATGCAGGGTAGACTGTTGGCACTGTTAAGAGACCAGCTTTGGCCCCTGACAGCCACCAGAGTGACTCCTGACAGGTTGCTTGTGTCTTTCTGGATGCATTTTGTTATTTGCATTTTAATCTTACATGGAAAAGCAGGGTGCTAAACAGTAACTAGAACTGTTCTGATTCACATCAGGCACTCCAGGGCAGGAGAAGCTTTCAGAGTTGGGTAGCTGTGTCAAGCATTTCTCAAATGATAGAGTAAATGCAGACAGAAATGCAGAGTTGTGAGACCCGCTTCTCAAGGCACGAGAGAAGAGTTTACCACACAGTGGAGCAGGACCTGCATGGGTTGTACCCACATGACTCACATTCACTTTGGGCAGGGCAATCGGTAGAAGTGCACGCTATTTATAGAAATGCTCTTGTGCTAATCTTGAAGTGATGATTAATCTGTATAGTAATAATCTTTCACTTTAGTACGCAGGGAAATGGTATGCCTTGGCCAAGAAGGATCCAGAAGGCCTTTTCCTTCAGGATAACATCTCTGCTGAATACACTGTTGAGGAAGATGGCACAATGACAGCTTCTTCCAAGGGCCGGGTGAAGCTTTTTGGGTAAGCTTTCTTAACTTATAGTTCCAGCAGCTGCCATGAGGTACTCAGCGTGGGGACATGGATGGTGATCTGTCATTGCACACAATGCAAACGGGTTGTCTTTGTCCAAAAAGAAAGATGGATCAAGCCAGTACATTAATGGCTAGACTTCTGAGTCTGGGTTAGTTCTCACCCTGGCTGTGGTCTGGATGTATCAAAAATGACTGCATAACCTCCAGTTTCAATTATAAAGCCCAATCTTGAATATGGAGCTATTAGGTAAATCCCAGACAAGAGAAAAGAGCTAGCAAGCCTGCAGGCAGACGAGAGCACAACAGTGCTGATTTCACAGAAGATCAAGGGAAGGAAACAAGCGTAAGCAAGAATTGCTTTTGCTGATCATTCAACATAGCATTAAGCAGACTTCTGAGAAAAACGCTCAGTTAGCTCTTAGATACCACTGTGGTGCCTGAACAGACAGATGGAAAGAACCTTAAGAATTCTGCTTGTCAGTCATGTTTACTGTAAGGGATCACAATATATGTAGGGATTAAATAGCTTTCTGCATGTGGAGAAGACAGTCTGGGTCTTCCAGCAGGCCAGCGCTGGTTCTGTTCTGCATCAGCTACTGAATACTACCTAACTGCATGAATAGTAGAGCAGAGTAGGTGGCTGCAGACCTTAGTTCTAATAGCATGGCACTCTAGCAAATCTGAAGAAAGCTTTGCAGGCATGCAGTTGGGTGGGAAGATTCCTGAAAGGACTCTTCAGAGACCAGGTGGGATATAAAGGCTGCCGGGAATTTCTTTCTGTAAAGGCAGCATAAGAAGGAAATACATCCCACAGAATGCAAATGGAGAGCCTTCCAGTGCTTCACAAATCCAGTAATGCTTGCCACACTGTGGGGAGGCACAAAGCAAAGGGGTGTGAATAAGGACCATTGGTGGAAAAGGATGAAGAAAACTGTCTGGGTAGTTACAAGGCTCCCATTGTCTGGGCAAAAGACTTTGACTGGTTTGGCCAGCAGAGGCTGTCTGTGCTTGTTTCTGCGCATGTAACAGGCATCCCTGTGCCAATAGACAAGGAAGGTGAAAGGAGAGGAGAGGTAGCTCCCAGCAGAGGGGTTGGATCCTGGCCTAGCCTCAGCATGGCAGCTCTGTAGATACTGGGGCCAGAGCAGAGCAGCCAGGCATCGGCATTAATGGAGCCACATACTCGCTGCATTTAATAGCAGACTAGCTTTGCACTAGGGATGACTGTGTCTGAGGGTGTTGAGCTGAATCTGGCCTGGTGCTTGCCCAGTCCTCAGTGGGGTTCACCCAGAGTCTTACCATCAGTCCTGCGGGTCTCGTTGCAGGTTCTGGGTAATCTGTGCTGACATGGCTGCTCAGTACACAGTGCCAGACCCGACCACTCCTGCAAAGATGTACATGACGTACCAGGGCCTGGCGAGCTATCTGTCAAGTGGTGGTGAGTGCCTCTTCCTGCCTCCTCACTGTGCTGCCTAGAGCTTACCACTGCCTGGATTTGTGCATTTGTGACCACAACTCAGGCTGCACCATGTCTGCTCCAGTTCTTCACCTCACAGGTGGAGACGTGCTGGAGGTGGGAGACTCTCAGTCCTGCAGGAGGCTGCCCAGCCCTTTGTAGAAGTGTGGCCTCTCTGTGCTGTGCAGCCCAGTCCGCCATCAGTCTACCATGCCTACAGTAACAAACACATGCTCTGTGTTTCAGGGGACAACTACTGGGTGATTGACACCGACTATGATAACTACGCCATTACTTACGCCTGCCGCAGCCTGAAGGAGGACGGCTCCTGTGATGATGGCTACTCCCTGATCTTCTCTCGCAACCCCCGTGGCCTGCCCCCCGCCATCCAGCGCATCGTGCGCCAGAAGCAGGAGGAGATCTGCATGTCTGGCCAGTTCCAGCCTGTGCTGCAGTCAGGTACCTCAAGCCAACCCACAGAGAAATGGCTGCACAGGCAGCTTGCAGGGGAGGTGACCGCATTTGCTGTCAGTGTGGCAGAGCTGCAGCAAGCCAAGCTGTAATCGTTTACGATGTTTTTATCTTCATAAGAAAACACTGCAAAAGGCAAGTCCACAGGAGGTAGAGACCCTGTTCCATGGCCTTAAGTTTCCCCTTGTGTGCTGACGCTGACATGTTACAAAGGGGAATCAGCTCCTCTGTATCAAATAGGTTGGAGTGCAACAACCTGATAGTTGGAAATGGTTGGCTTGGCCACCTGAGTAACAGCGTCTTACTTCATGTTTGTGCATCGTCCATGAGGAAAAGGAAGGAAAACTGCCTCCAGAGAGAAATGTGCTCCTCTCCTTAGCTCATTTTGTGTCCTAGGCTGTCTGAACAGCAGCAATGAGGGGCTTTGAGCAGCAGTTCTGGCTGTGTATGCTGGCAGTGAGAGTTAGCAGCTGCTTCACACACACGCTAATGGAGCATATCTAGGGCCTGTTTTGAGGACATTTTTTTTCCTGGGGCCATGGAAGCCGATCTTCCAGCTGTTCCTGTGGTATGCAGATTAATTTCTACAGCTACACTGGGTGCAAAAGTGTCTCTTCTTGGTGGCCACCCTTTACACATAGCACGTTGCCTGGAGATAGGCCCTGTACTAAGCCAGACCGGAGGACCTGGGCTGGAGGCTGCCACTCTGATTCAAGTGCTCTGCAATGCCAGACAGGAAAAGGCAGAGCAAGCACTGGCATCACACCTGGTTATGGGGATGGTGGGGCATCCCTGCCCCTTGCCCCTTCATATTCATGGGATCGTGTTGATGCGTTCAGAGGGCTAAAAACTCAGTTGTCTGTGTCTAGCAAAAGTTGGGAGAACAGGTACAGAATGATACCGCCTGTCTTGTTCTGTGCATCAGCAATAGTCTAGGAAGATGTTAACTCCAGTTTCACTAAAGGCTAAAAGGCTGGTAGAGCACTTTGCACATTTACTTACCTGAGCTGAGATTTCTTTTCTTTCTTTGCAGGAGCCTGCTAAGAGTATATTTCTGATTCTACCCCTAAGCACAGAAGCCAGACCTCTTGGTATTGAAGCTGCCACTCAGCTAATAAATCATAGTAGTGTGTTTTCTCTGAAAAACACATGAAAATGTTGGGGATTTTGTAAACTGCGTGCAGTACAGTAGTGGTATCTGAATTTTCAAGGTAATACCTAAAGTGGCATTTGTCAATAAAAGTTTTTAAAAAACCCATCTATAACTGCTTTCTGTTGCACGCCACTGGAGAGCGGAAGCGGGGCAGCTCCCTGGGAAGGGAGGAGAGCAGGGTGGTCTGCCACAGCCCTGAAGGCATGGGGCCAGCAGGGCTTGATCGTTGCTGCCTGGTAATGTCCTAAAATTATTTCTGGAACAACTGAATAGAAAAATAATATTTCTGAGTTGACCCCAAATCTAGAGTGCAGTAAAGCATATGTTCCTTTCAGTAGCACTGGGCCATTGCTTTAAGAGAGCAGGTACTTCTGTTTCTAATGACACAGGCAATAACACACTCTTCACTGACTTCTTATCCAGTCTCTGGTACCTGAGAGCTATAGAACACAAAGGTACACAACTGGCATGTTTTGTGGGCAACACTTTAATTGATAAAAGAACAAAAATAATATCTAGACAACTCCTTGTAGAAAAAGCGTAAACTGAGTCAGTATTTTTGACAATTTCCACATTCCTTAGTGCAATCAAATTCACTTAGAATGTTCCTATGAATAAAACTATCAGAACAGAACACACCCCACACTGTGCTGAACCCTGCAGTTTGCCAGCAATACGAGGAAGCACGTAAGACCAAGTTGAGCAGTTCTCACTCCTGAGCCCTGCATTTGGTGTGTGGTACCGGATGAAATAGAGAAATGCCTCAGAGCATCACATCACAAAACAGCTTCTGCGACATGCAGTGTCTTTCTTACTGTATCCATGAACACTATCCACTGTATCTGCAGGAGAAGCATGTAAAACACTAACTAAACACATTTCCCCAGGGCCAGACACACGATCCTCAGGATGCAGGGATGTCTCTCAGGCTTTCTTTTCTCAGGAGGCACTCTTAAGCCTCTCAGCAGAGAAACTATGGTATTAAGGTGTTCTTGCTTTTCTGGCCTACATTAGCCTACTTCAAGGGGACAAGGTGGTGAACCACCTAAAGTTAAGGTCAGAAGCAGAAGAGCAGCACACAATGCAAAAGCAAAACCACACAGATAAGAGACTATTGAGTGTTAAAAGATTCCAGTCTTTTGAGCTGGACTAAGTGCAAGGTTAGTGAATCGATTTAATGTTCACCACTTGTTCACCAGTTCCATGAAGAAGTATTGGGGTGGAGTTCTGTGAACTTTGGACTTGTATTACAACTGATTAGACAACACAAGCCCCTAGATGTAGGAGCCTGACCTTTGGCCAAGACATTCAGACCAGACTACCAGACACCGAGAGGTGAGATTTTAAATTGTCTGCAACTATAACATACAAATTGGCTGGGCATTCTAGCAAGCACAATCCAGATGCAGGGCCAAGCACATCCTTACCGCACTAGGCACAGTCTGTAAGAGTTAGACAGTAAAATCCCTTCCCAGTCACAAAAGATTGTGCCTCCAGGAAGGCAAGTGGGACTCTGGGAGATTACACCGCAGAGTTACACGTGTCCCAGGAGCCTGCCTTGTCCTGAGAAAACACATTCCCATCAAGATCACATTCAGGACCTTACTGTATGATCTGATGAGTTAATAAACAGATAGAAGTGATCTAATTAGCTCACGTCCATTTCTCTCCACTGACTTCTCAGACTGTGACAGGCTAAGTAAAGTCAGTTAGGTAGTAACAAGTGTATTCTGATCTGAGCCAAAGTACTCTCGCTCTACTGGGTTCAGCATCTGATGTTCAGTGTAAGTCTAGTGCAGACACACTTCTGCTTGCTGTTTCAACAGGCTAATGGAAACCAGTCTATTATTCCTGGTTCTAAGTGTCTACAGGTCCCAAGTCCTCCTGTTCTGCACAAACTTTCCACTAACAAGAGCATAGAAAAAACTGTTTACAAATGAAAAGGACTGTTGTTTTGTCCTCAGAAGGTCTTTTGGTGCTGGCAGAAAGGCTGAGATTGTGCAACAGCAGGAGGAACACTGCAAGGATCTTGTCCTTCAGATGCCAGTGTACCTCCTCACACCAAGGACACTCAAGTCCTGAGATCCAATGGTAGAATATCATAACATGTTAAACCAGTTTTCCTCTGAGCATAAAGAAAAAACAAACCTGTAGCTGAGAAACCTATGTGTCTAAAGCCCTACTTCAGCCTCGACATACTTTTTTTTTGTCACACTTCCTCCATGCTTCAGTTCTGTATAAGGTTGGAACTCACACCAGTCAGGCTCCTATACCTTGAGAACAGTGGCAGTGCTTCACAATTAACCACTAACATAAGAGTACTGAGCAGCTACCAGAGCACAGTGATTGCACCTTGTTTTAGCAGGATTCATACCTGCTAAAACAGAGATATTTTATTGTGCAGCACAGAAGATGGTAACAAATCCAGTATATACAAAATTAAACAATATAAAATATCATAAAATATCCCCTAAAATATCCTTGATTTTTCCTTTGTATTCATTTTAACAAACAGTTGCAAAACAATCTCAGAAGCTTCTGCCTCTTGAAAAGCACACCATCTTATCTTGAGGTTGCAGTTAGATTTTCTTATTTCTGTTGCTTAGCCAGAAGAAGACTTATCTGAGAACTCTGCAGTGCTGCTTTGGCTCAGAAGCTACAAAAACCACCGAGCACCTGCTACTCCCCAGTTACCATTTATGCACATCCAGCACTTATGAAACCTTAAAGCACTGGGGAAAGCTGACCGCTGTCCCAGTAAAGGAGGAGATGGTAGAAATGAACGATTAAGCAAGCAATGTTGGAAGCACTGTGAGACAGTCAGTGGCAAACAGTCATAGAAAACTCAAGTTTCAAGTTGTAAGTAGCAGATTTTGTAGTCACTGAAATACAGAAAAGACCAGAGCAGCAAGTTCATACCTTGCTGGAAACAAATTCTAGTCTAGAAACTTTCTATCCTCTATTACAGATTTTTGGATTTGCTCATTGCTTAAAGGAGTAAGTTTATACTAAAGCAACAAAGAAGAAGTAGAAAAATAAATAAATCTTGCTGAGTATGTAAAACTTGTTTCTGAACAGTTAGTGCACCATTTTTGGTCAGCTGTTTTCCATGCACAGTTGCCAGTGCCAGTGAATACTTGAAAAAGCACCATCCACATTTGGATGATTAATGTAGGAGACCTAAAAGAGGTTGCTGGTGACTTCAAAGTGGCTGAAGTTGGTCCTGACAGAATAGATTCTACCTGCATCTACAATATTCTTAGGTCTGCTTTTGCAAATATTATTTTTATAACTATTGTATAGTCCTTGAATTGAAAACTACTACTACATGCAGTAGCTGTCCACGCAGGGAAATCATAGTAAGACTACATAAATATGGCATCCTAACTGTCCTCTCATGCTTTTATATTATTCCCATTTCAGATGCACTATTCATACTTAAACGTGTCTTAAATGTGTCTCAGTGGTTCCACCTCATACTGGCAAACTCTATATCTTATCTAGTGGATCTACTTACCTTCATTTTTGGATTCTTCACTTGGATGTAGTTGTAACAACGTTAAAATGTATTTTTACTATCCCCATTCTGGTAGGACTTCTCAATGACGCTTTTCTGAAACTGGTATAATTACCAACTAAGAAGACTCTGATGTTTTTTTTCTTGTTGTGTACAAGTCTTTACAAGTAAGGAATTGGCAGATTTGGATGCAACAATCACTCCTCAGTCAAACTTCAGTGAGGTAAGAAATATTTCACCTGAATTCTGAGGTCAAATTTTTTAAGGCTAGCTTTTAGTATAAGCACTTGAACAAGTAACTAGAAAGTGTCATTGAATACTGACATTCTGTATGTTTCTTTCCCATGTTGTAAATATGCAGCCATTTTAGACAGTTCAGCTATCTCCTACTGTGCAAACTTTTTTTTTTTTTTTGTCTGCGTTTCATCAAAAATGCAAGCTTCGTTGTGAGGCTGGTGAGGTGTCTGATGTCAGCAAAGAGAGCAGCAGGGGAGATGTTTGTGTGACAAAGTTGCTCCTCTAATGGAAAACATTCCAGCTGTTTTCACTGGCAATATCTTTCCCTCTACAAGCATTTTAAAGGCACTGCTCAAACTGTGCTGCTGTGAAGAGGGGTGAGTAAAAAAAAACACCCCTGCAATTTCAAGGAACTTTGTTGTTGCATAAAGTGTTTGGCATTTGCAAGGACAGCCAGAGGTGTTCCGTAGCTCATTATCTGGAGCAATAACACACTTGAGCATGTGGTTTCTGAAATATGGAGACTCGAACAGCTCTTGATTAGTTTCCTAGCTGGTTGTCAGCTGTAGCCCTCTGTTAAATGTAACTGTGCGTTATGCTATAACACAAAAGGCTTTAACCAGCATTTTAACTTTCCTGGGAATCCAAAGCCAAGCCTCAGCTCCTTTACAATCTAAGCATGAAACTCCAGAAGGGAAGCATGCTGGGGAGAGATGTATCTGAAGGGCTGTATAAAGCGAGATTAGGTAAGAGTGGAATGGAGAGGAAGAGACACTTTTGGAGCTAGAATCTTCACCCTAAAGAGGCAGTAACTCATGGCTCTGTACAAACACAAAGACCTCCATAAAGGCAAGGAGGTGACTTACGCAAAGGCAGCGAGCAGCAGGCACAATGCAGTCTACAGGCAGGAACTCCCTTTGTGAGAGGGAGAAGAACCTCATGCACCTAAGAAGAGTGGAAGTGCTCTGAAACAACCCTCAGGAGCATGTATGTTTAACTGATGTGAAAGACAAGACCTTCCACTTCATGATCTGTATGTGCAAGTCTGGTTGCCATTTGCTCTTTTATCACTCTTTATGTCAAGATACAGTCAGGCAGCTGAAGCAGGCAGCTCACTCTCAGACGGGTCCTCCTTGTGCCTTTACTGCCATCCTCGCCCATATAGTAAAGTGATGGCATTGCTCCTGCTGCAGTTTGTGACCTTCATGAATAATTGTCTGTTCTGTGTATCAGATTG